TCTTTCGTTATGCGCAGGGTTAGACTGGGACACCGGGATTTTCTCGGTAAGCCGCCATGAAAATGAGCCTATGGGGGCTGCAGTAGGCTATTGGTGGCATTGGGGCCGGTAATAAGCAGTGCGGGGGCCTTATATATATGTTAAATGGTAATAAAACTAATAATATAATATTATTAATAATATTTAACTGTTGTGATAACCTTGCCTACCTTTAATATGGTATGTAACGTTTAAATATAAAAGACTGAGGACGAGGATATTATTATTACTACTATTTATATTATATTTATTTTAATGTAAACAAATATAATTTGTTAATTTTCTTTATCTCTAAAATGTATGATAATATTATATTATATTACGACGCCCTGCACTAGTGTGTATTTATAGCAATTATCAATTAAATGTTATGTTTTTTTTTCATAAACTTTTCGTGTCAGCGTCTGTTGAAATATGGTAGCATTGGTTATAAATTAACTTTATTTTAATAGTGCCGTGCCAACAAAATCCCCTAACCCCCACCCATATATATGCCACTGAGTGAGCAAAAAATTATTCAGTTCTAACATCTCCATAGCACAGGCTGTGAGCTGAGAGCAGGGGCCTGTTAAAAAATTATTTCCCGGGCCGTTTGTTTGAGCTAGTCCAACCCTGGTTATGCGACCATAGAGATATTGAATATTTATCAGTAATTAATGAAAACATAAAGTTTTTTTTTTAATTTAGTTTAGCTCATTCTAGAAAATAAAATTTAAACAGATTCCAAACAAAAATTCTAATTCTAATATTTATTTAGATATACCTTTAAAAAAAAGATATCTTTCACCGATAAACCCAATGCTTTATAATAACGCATAGATTAGATTTTTATATTGAATTATTAAATAATAAATTTAAAAAAAATAAATGTATACAATATTTCTTCCATCAAATATGGCTTCAAGTTTTAAATCGTAAATATRTTTTTTTTTTTTAAATATAGTTACATAATATTGCAACAATAGCTGCGTGTTACATGTTGTTCATCAGCATTCATCACAAACTGTTCAAAAAAATTAGGACGTAAATAATTACTTATTAATGAATTAATATAATAGTAAACAAAACAATATCGTAACTTTGAAATGCAACGCAAGAACATTTTAATAGGTGGTATACTTGTATATTATAATATACCACTATTATAGTGCTGTTACAAAAATTACTTAGCACATAATATCACTTCGAGAGTTGAATCGGATTCGGTGACCTAATAAGCTGGTGTAAGACGTTGGTACTTGTTCCAATAGGTAACTAGGCGAGTAGGAAATAAAATTATCATATAGGTATCACATAATTAACGTGAAATGTATGGCACACACATAATAAAATATAGTGATAGTGACACACTAGAGTGCATTCGGACTACAGGAGATAATAGTATAGCTAGTGAATTACAATGAATTATACGTTTACAAATGTCTATTAATTAAGACATACCTACCATGTCATGGTTTTATTATACAACAATAATATTATGCATTTATGCCTATTGTTTTATTTTATCAGAAATTTGTTTTAAATGTTGGGCGCGGCTACATATATACACAACAACGACTTTTAAAGGGGTAATGCAAGTAATGTTGACAATTAAATTAAAAGCACCTACAAAATATAAAAATTAAATAATTAAATAAATGTTTTTGTCTATTACAGACATAGTAAACCATAAACATGTCTAAAAATATAATAAACAATTTATCCTTATGCATGACGATACCTATTAAAGGACTATACAACTAAAAAATCCTAATTTTTTTTATTGTGTGAAAATGTAGTGCTTAAAAAAAGAAAAATTTTGGTGGTATAAAATTTTTT